CCATTTTTAAAGACTTTGGTATGTCTCGGCCAGGGGACAGAACCCAAAGCCTTCCTCACAGGGGCGAACGCTCAACAAATGGCCAAAAGTGAGGCATTGTCAAGGGAGACATTAGGAAGAAGAAAGTTATTTAGAAAGGAGAGAAGAGATAAGGTCCCAAATTTAGTCGCCTCTTACGATCATGCAATTGGGGGCAGCAGGTACAATTCTTACGCCCTACCTGCAGGGTCCTTTTTCCATGGATACTTTATTATCCAGGTGAGCGATACAGGCTCTCTGGGCCTCTTGTTTGTTTTACAGAATCAGCCCCGACCCCCGCGTAAGACATACAGTGTGGGGATGCGGCTTTGGCCTAATATTTACCTGGCTTCCTAGTTGGTGCAGTCAAGCTAGTATACAGAGGATTTCCTCACTGCGATCTAAAAATGCTGCCCAAAAGTAATCCTCGAATTTAAACACCCTCACTCAAGTACAAGTGAAACTCATTATCACAGCATTATATACACCATAGTTTTATGATACTGAAATAATATAGATACAAAAACACATAACCTTATGTCAAGTCGAAAAATACATTAATGAAATGACGTATTTGCTTACCGAACGTTTAAGTAACATGATTAAAACAAAATTCAGCATACTTTTAACATATATTCGTTCTTATTTTTTAAGCAGATAGGCATATTAATAAGCTATCGCAGCGGGGTGTAATTTTGGCAGATTTGTGTGCAACTTGCTATTTGGTCATTTTTACCTAAATGATGCACAAGTCATTTAGCCAACATTTGCAGTACATGGCTCAATGAGGCATGCTCAGTATCTATGCATCGTTTTTTCTGTTACAGTGCGTTTTTTCTGCTGCTGCCAATCATTGTTTTCTATAACATAGTGCTAGCGTTTAAGGGTACACTGATGTATACGTACTATAGAATGATGAACTGTGGACCATTTGAAGCCGGATTCGTCTCTTCTATGAATCAGGTAAGGAATCGAGCGTGTCTGTTTGACTGTTCAAATCTTGGTGTTGCTGCGAATTTGACATTTAACTTTCTAATTCCGAGGATTGATATTTTTTTTTACTTACCCTCGATTAAGATAATTATTGTTCGTTGTTTACACTTTTAATCCGTTGCAAGCTATCCCAGACAGTCTGTAAACAGTAGCAGAATATTGACATATAAATATGACTTGTCTCAGTCGTTTTTGTGTAAGTTTAATCAAAATTGACATAGCTGGATCGTTTGGTTTGGCCAACAAAATTTTGGGCAAACGCCAAAAACATCCCCTTTACCCCTATTACAGTACACGACTTTTTCGTTCTCAAATTAATACTTTGATACAAACTGCTCCAAAATTATATTGTCACTCTTGTTTTATGATTCCAACACATAAATTGCGTCCGGTTCTGTGCGGCGTGCAAGCTGTTATAGAATAGGATTGGATAAAGAAAACACTCGGGGATAAATTTGGTAAAGAAATCCCTCATGGATACAATTGATAAAGAAACCACTCACGGATAAAATTGATAAAGGAATCACTCCCGGATGAAATTGATAAAGAACTAACTAACGAATAAAATTGAGCATAATATTATAATAAGAGTAATATAACTATACACAAGGCTCGTTAACTGGCAAAAAGTTGTACCCTGAAAAATATCGATAATATACCAAGAGGCATTTTATTGGAGTATTGTTTAGTTTGCATTTGATTACTACCAAACGTAATTTGTTTATAATATGTGCATAGGAAAATATCTATTTTAGTTGTTTATTGTTTTAATCGATTATTTAAGAAATTAACAAAAAAAAATAATGCTTCAGAGATTATTTGATATATGATTATTAATATCTTATTTTACAATGAGATGACGCCGTATTTCGTGTTTGATGTACTACGGAGTCTGCCCGGAATGTCGGGAGTTTATGTTTCCTGTCTGTTCAGTGGGTCTCTGAGGTAGGTAGGTTTCTTCATGTCCCGAAGGATATTTTTAACATTTAATCTTTCCTAAGAAGAAAATCAGTTTCAGTATACGTTTGTTAAAGAAAAGTAACAACATACGCTGAAGTATTTATTACAGTGAGCTAACCCCGTCGCATGATCTATGATTTTCCCTTTCGAATTATAAGCTCTGAATAATTCCTCTAATTAAAGGTAATGAAGATATCTATGGGAATTGTTTACTACTTTGATTTTTTTTTAATTGTAATAAGTATCTACCATTAGATTACATTTATAAATGCATTGTAAAATATGTTCTTTCAAATCTTCTCTTAATTGTGTAACCCTTCAACTTTCCCCCTTCACTAGTGAACTCTCACGAAACGAAACACCTAAACATGCAAATGTTCGTTTCAGAGACTGCTTGACTGTGCTATAATGGGTTAATAAAGAGTTTAAAAAAACATTTCATGTGCATTTTGACTTAACTACGCTCCTTTCCTCGCCGAAGAGTAGTATCATGTAGAGAAATTATTAGCCGATAGCATAAAACGTAGGATAAACACATTGCTTTGATAAATATTATTCATCAATTAATAATTTTGAACAATTAAGAGTCAGTACATTAATAATATCTAAATATAAAGTATTGAAATCGTCAATTGAAATGTTACAGATCACTTTGTAATAATGGTAAATAATTTATCTTTAAACAAATCCCTGTAAATGTAGTGTTGTAGTATTGTTTCTCGTGCTTCATTGTTATGGAAGGGGTGCTGCTATGGCAAGCGAGAACCCTCCCCCCTCGAATGATCGTTTATTCCAAAAAGAAGAAGAAGAAGCAAGCATGAGTCTCATTACTATTTCTGAGAGTGCATAGGTGCTTTATACCATCGGTCGTTTAAACACATGTTTTAAAAAGCACTTATCTTATCTTGTGTTAGATATAATGACTTTTGTTCCATTGCAGTGTTTTTATTTACACAATAACCTTCCCTTAATTTCGTTTTGGACACCAAAGTTGGGCCAGGGCACTTTTTGTCGGCCATTAGCTCAATCGGTTAGAGCGATATTACATGTATAACACGTTGATGTACAGGGTTCGAATCCCAGTATAGTGCCGGTGAGTTTTTAACAATCAAAGCACTGTTTGTGAATTATGTTTATGCTTATTTCATACTATTTTATTATTATTTCGCAAAAGTGCCGCAAGTATGGGTTTCTTTTCACAAATCATTTATATCAAACCTATAATCATGCTGGCACAGTCAGTTTCCAGTGCGCAGGTTTTTCGACAAAATCAGTCAAAATACTCAGTGAAGGATTTGAAAAGCTTACAAATGAAAACATAGGTAATATACTACTATCTGAAATCGTTGCAGCACATTGTCATCAGGACTTAATGCGCTGGCAGCTAACACGGCGGAGGACATTCTTCCGCGCTACATCAGGTCAGCGAGGATATCACTGGCAATGATAGCTAAATTGACAGGTACAAATAGACTTTGCTTTCGTTTGTTTGTGTTTTACGTACCATTAACGGTTATTGTCAGAATGTCAGATGCCTTAACCACTTTGCCAACGCGGCCCCCTAAATACAAATAGACAAAAAACATATGATATATATATAACACATTTATATGCTGCACGAACTTAACTTTAATCAGTTAAATAGATAAAAGCAATTGTTCAATTCATCTCTATAAATACATGTATGTCAAGCAAAAAACACTAACTCGAAGTAAAGTTAAGAATCACCGTATTCAAAATTCAGTAAGTTGATGATATTAAATATATTATTTTTGTTCGTGTCAAAACATTGATGTTTGATAAAAAGAAACAATCATTTGATAACAAGCATTTATTTTAAAATTAAATTTGATGTTAATGAATTTTGTTTTCTTCCCTCGGCTGAGGCTGGTTTATGTTTATTTTGGCTTTGCATATGTCGTATCCGGATTTTTGGAAATAGTATTATTCTTAACATGTTTTATAATAATGCCTTTTTTCTTGTTTTATAATTTTAGTTATTGTTTATGGTGTTATTGCGATCGGTATTGCTTATACACTGCAAAACGTGCCTGGTCCGATTACTCAGGTGAGTTTCTTAATATCCATTTTAATTCTATCTATGTTTTTTTTAATGAATTTTAATTGATGGGCACAAGTTTATGGGAAATTATCGATAAAAAACCTGGAATACTTAAGATGGTACTGTCAAAACATTACTACTCTCTTCTTTTCAGTTAGCGTTAACCCCAGATATACTTGCAGGTAAACCTAGTACATGTAACTACATATAAGGCGACAGAAAACTAAAAAAATTACATACAAGATTAAGGCAGCAATGCGGTTCTCTTTGATATGATCTATTCCGTGCAAATTTAGTTCAAGATTCAAACAGTTCAAATTATGGTCATCATTGTGAAACTGCCTTTCATTCCGTCTTTGAGTGTCAATTTTATATTAATGCTCGTACATTACTGATCCATTATATTAACAATATAAATATGCAAATAAGTTTGAAGTTACTACACTGTCCTATTTGGTGACGAAAACCTAGCTATTTGAAATTGTCTGTCTATGTAAATCACTTGGTATTGAACTGTTGATAGGATATGGCTTCATTAGTTGCAATAACGTGTGTTAGATCCCTTGTACCCATTTGGACAATAAATATGTGCAAGGTCAAGCCAAAAGTTGTCGATAAATAGAAACGCAAGTGATAAAACATGGATCCATTTTTCCCAGATGATCGTGTTCAATAGGAGCACCCTCATTCCATATCAGATCATCAGCATTCGGCCCCTCGGGCTTATATAAGAGTATCGCCTCGAATTAATGTAATCATTGATACTCATGGGGTTACGCTCATTCGCACTCGCTGCACTCCTGATTTATGTCATAGAAAAATAAACACGCTCAGTATGTGCCACGGTGTGGATCAGAAAAAATAAGACTAGTTCAGTTCTTTATTGTTCATCAAACGATTCCTGCATGAGCGTAACGGTAAAATTGACTGTCTTTGACGTTTTGTTTTGACCTGATACCCATCAAATAGCTTGTTACGTACCTTCCATTTCGCTATGACATATTCCAGGCGTGCAGAAAGTGTAAGTGAGCGTAACACCTAGAATATCGAGAGTGGATTGTATTGAACATAATAAATGTAACCTTTTAACAAATAACCTGTGCAATAACCGTTGCCGGTTGAGTTTCAAATACACCATCCGAAGGGGAAACGGTGGTAAAATCACATTAACACAAAATGTTTATTTATGTCTGTAGGTCTGCATCCTACTTGTTTTTATGAAATACAATTTGCTTACATGCCCTATCATTAAGTCACGAGACATTTTGCGATACCAAAAAACATAAAATGTTCACATGGCAAATGTTTGTAAATGTCATCATATGCTTATTTGTAGTTAGCCCTTGCCATATTTGGAGCCTGTGGTGGACCAATGGCCGGCTTGTTCTTCCTCGGAGGCTTATTCCCCAGTGCTAATTGGATTGTACGAATGTTACAATGTTCCAAGGATTTTTGTTTATATAATGTGAAAGAGAAAGAGATAAATTAATGAACACAAAATAACAAAGTCATTACTGTAATTCCGTACGACAAAACAAACAACGTTGAACAACCACAAATAATCAGAGACTTCGCTAGGTTACAGTTGTTGCTGTTTTTATTTTGTGATTTGTGTGTTGAGCTTACGGAATGACGTTTTTTATTAAACTATTTACGTCAATGAAACAATTTACTGCTACTATTTCCCTTTTTTTTCTAAGTTTTCCAGTATGTCACTTACATATTTAATGTGTGATTAGAATGTTTAAAATGTTCCGGTTATTTTAGGTGGTGACGTTTTCGTCCTCGCACCCTCAAAATACCTCCTTCTCAATCCAATCAATTCTACCGCCACATGAATTTGACTGACACGTTGTTTTTAATGTTACCGGATTTCTTCAATGGTTTCAAAGACATTACATGAATACGTCACTCAATTGATAAGGAATACGGCGTCATACTTACCCTGACGTATTTATATTCGATGCTAATTATCAACATTTGCAAAATCGTTATAATTATGGTCACAGTAGTATTTTGCTTCGAAAAATTAGGTTTGGTCCAATTTATAGATTATTTAATGTTTCCACTTGAACGTTTAACTCTTTTTCAATGATAAAATATAAGAGATTAATACTTTTTTCTTGTTTTGAATCAAAAATATCCTTTTTGATGCGAATGCGATTCAAATGACATATTTCATATGAGGATTTCAGTATGCCTGAGATGGAAATACTTTAATGATTGAATGTATTCAAATCAATAGTGTTTAGATTTCTCATTAGCGATAATGACGGATTAAATGTGTATGCTTCAAAGAGGTGACATAATAGCTACATGTACTCATATACAAGTAGTAGAATGAGGCAGGCATTGAATTTTGAGTTTTAAGAACACATGTCCAGTACTTTTTGGACAAAACATTTGAGTGTTAAACAATTAAAATTATCCTATATTAAAAATAAATAAATAAATAAATAAATAGATAAACAGAGAAATAATGTAAATATCCGATTGATATGCCGCACGTTTATTTCACCACAGGGTGCCTTGGTAGGGAGCCTATCAGCTATAGTGATAAACATGTGGGTAGTTCTTGGTGGTCAACTATTTGGCAGTGCACCAGCTCGACTTGAACCAATAACTACCCAAGGGTGCTATCCTAATGACACTTTAACATCTTACCCCATGTGGAACAGCACCATTTCAACGGAACCCATGTGGAACAGCACAGTTTCAGCTATTCTGACAACAGTGAACGTCGTAAATGGGGCAGCGGGTATAGATGAAACCTCTATGTAGGTTAATGTTTTTGTTCTTTTGTTTTCGTGTTTCTCTGTTTCCTGTTTTGGTTTTGTGCCGATGTTCACATTCAATTTGTGCTTCACTTTGATAGAGCTATGCTATTTTTCTGTACCACATTTAGCATGTTTCTTTTTACAATTCATTAACTTTGAAATCTTTTATTCCAAATACGACGAAATACGACAAATCTTATTAGATCTGATTTTTTTTATCCAAAAAGAATGGAAAAGTTTGATGCCAAACGACTAGAAACATATGCTCATATATTCTTGACGTGACGTTAAAGCATCATTGCCATGTCGTCATACAATCGTTTTGTTTGCTAATAAAAACTATGAAAATGTGTTTTTTAGCTTAGTTAAATACCTAACGAATTCAAATTTATGTTTGATGCAAAAGTATTTTAAAAATAAATAAAAAAATACTTCATTGGTAGGACGTGATATATTTCAAAGTTTTCTTATATAATTGCAACGTAGAGGAAAGCAGTAGCATGCCAGTAGCTTGATATTGTACATGACACTTTTGATTCTGGACGTATGTGTAATATATCAATATGAAGTATTTAATGATAGTAATTAACACATAAATGACACTTACATGAATTCCAGACAACTGGTCTTCAGTTCTTTCATTTATTTTAGAAAGAGAATTGTGACATCTTTATTTATGACGTTATCATGTGATTTCCTTAGCGATGTCCACCATAATAACGCGTAACCTATTTAACATTTTAGTAATGATGACGTACCCAATCTAACAATTATGTAAATAGCATTTATTGTGCTATGTTTTAAAAAGGAATGCGGCTGAAAATGGGATATGATTCGTCGTCGTTTAGTTTAGCATTTTATTTTAACCCTATCTTATTAACATACATGGAAATTTGTCAAAGGATTGGGTAACATGCACAACCATGCCCTTTAAAAAATATAAAAAAAAATATAAAAATGGCAACAAATGTACATATAATCTTACTAGAAGTATAGAATAAAATAAAAAAATGATTAATTATTCAATATATTTAAGGCTTTTTAACGTTTTTATGAATGTGAATTATATTTTAAAATGGAAATTACAGTAAACATATATACAAAGACTCCAGCATATCAAAATGTATCATAGCGTGTTCTTATTTTTACTGTCTTTGCTATCTTACAATAATTATGTAGTGTGAATTTATCAATTTAATATTAATATCTTTTCCCTTCCCTTTTCTAGTTTCCCACTGTACAACTTATCATACATGTGGTACGGATTCCTCGGCTTCACGGTGACCATTGTAGTGGGACTCCTGGTCAGCTGTGCTACAGGTAATACACTTTTATCATAAAATACGCATAAAGGAAAAACATGAAACTAGTCTTGAAAGAAAACAAAAGGAATAATATTATAACTTTTACTTAAGTTCATTAAGTTACCATAACTGTCATACATTTCATCTGTTCTGATTTGATATATTATATACATTTTTTCCCACAAGAACATCGTTGCCTATTGCAGTATTTTATATTTTTCCTATATATGCATATTGATTAAAGTAAAGTTTATTTTCAGTGAAGATATCTCACTTTAGACATTTTTGGTGTTGTTTTCATATACAATATATGTAGATTCATATTGACAAATATGTGATTTAGACGTTTATTTTTTGTTTTGATTTTGTTTGATTTAATTTTGGTTTTGCTTGGTTTCCCTTTTTCTTTAAACCGCTTTATTTTTAAAATTATTTATCCTTTTTTTTTCTTCAACACGATTTATGTTTTTAATTATTATATCACAGGTTTTGATAGAGGGAACGTTGTTGACCGCAGCTTAATATTTCCATGTTTTCGTAATTTCTGGGGTTTGGAAGTAGACAGGCTTTCTATGGTAGAAACATACCAGGTAACTCTGATTCCTAAGAAGGTAAGTGACCATCGGATATCCATAGCCTATGGGTGATATCTAACGAATTCGCGTATTTAGTATAGTATAATATATAACAACACATCATCGATATCCTTTAACTGACCATAATATATATTCAAGGAAAGATTCGGATATTCAAATTAAATCATATTTCCATTTTAAGATTTCATGGAATTTTGAAAAATATGACGTCATCATAGATGAACACGTCGCAAGGTCTTGTAATTTGACATCATGAAGAGAAGATTGACCAAAGCAATAACGTCCAACTAACCATGTTTACTAATTCTAAGCAGGGCTATCGTATGAGTTGGGAGTAAAGAAACCTATGATAGTTGTAATTTCTCATCATTTACTACAGCCATGGGCTATTAAATGCACATTTCGATATTTTTTTTGTCTAACATTGTTGCATATTTGTTTCAGATATCGCAAACCGAACACATACCGAAACAAGCTATCGTTTCGCAGCAGGCGTTCAACTAGAATATCTCAACTTAGTGATGGATTTCATATTGAATAACTTGCAATATACACTTAAAGATAAAACACTAAAACGGTCATATTAAAATATCTTTTTTCAAAGTTATACGATATTCATTACTTGAAATATTTTGAATAAAGATATTCAAATAGTTTTCTCCTTTGTAACTCTTTGTTTTGCATATTTTGTTTCATGTCTTTTGATATAATTAACTTAAGTTAGTATGATAGCTTATTATGTAATGAAACCTTTTAGCACAAAGACTTTCATAATTACAAGTCTGTACAACATCGTATCTGAAAACGAACCTGATTTTTTTTTTTATTAATGACACATTTGAAAGGCAACACATAGGGGTTGAATCTAGATTTTTGCAGTGTTCATGCAAGAATTAACTTGGAAACGTTTACTTACATACATGTACCACATGAGCGGCCGTAGCCAAGCTGATTCGATTTGGGTAAGACGACAGAACTTGTCACTGTTGTGATTATGGTCAACTGTAGATGAGAGTTATTTCTTTTAAAACCTCTAATACTTAAAATAATGAAAAAAAGACAAAGATACAATAAAAAAATAATAACGATAAACTATAGATCTTTTTAAGTAGTCCCTTGGAAAAACAGCCGTTCATAATAATAGTAACAGCTGTTTATTTTGTGTCACATGTGCTACTATGAGCCAATCACAGAACCTGTAACGAAGTGCAAAATGAAATTTGAAATTATTTGAAAATACACCACCGGAATAATATCCAATAAAGCAATAATATTCGTTTCTGCTTGTTTGATGGAGATAATTCTTACATTTATATAAGCCCCACCTGAACGGAACACTGACGTGACCAAATGTATTCGTTTAAAAATAAGATAAAGAGAATTCAAGATAAGTGTCAAATGCTTTACGAATTTATTTTCCATTGTGTTTCTATATTAGCCTTAGTCTTCCTTTGACGTATATGTGTTAAAACGCTCAACCCGAAACTGACCAAATCATTGATTTATACACAGCGGAATCAGGTTTAAAATACTTACGATATTTTGTATTTGGTTTCTAGAAAATGCATGGTTTGCTTTAGACAGACTTATTAGATTTTGTTTACTAATTCAATTTTCCTAAAAAGAAATCGAGCATCCAGTATCATTTTATATACTCCATTTTTTTTTCTTTTTTTCTTCACTACCATTCACTGGCGACCATTAGAAATTTCCGAAGCAATAAAAAGATAGAAGAAAAGAAGAAATTATAAATGGACCTCTTGTGCAGGTTATTCATTGATCTGCTTAATGTAGGAAACAGTTGTTAAGGAGGTGGTTCTTCACATCAACATTACACCATACATATTCTCTCAAAAGAATTGAGAAATATGTGCATGCTAAGACTACTCTAAAATACTATTCATATATACCGTAATATGAATTTGTCAAATTATGTTAATTTGTGTAACTATATATCTTGCTAGTAAATGAAGAGAATGTTCAGTAAAATATATGGTTTTTATATAACGTGAGATCTAAATGGTAGAACCAAAACTTATTAATCTGTTGAAGTAATAACTTATTGTTTCCAAACACAGGTAGTATAAGTAATAACATATTGTTTCTTAACACATGTTATATAAGTAATAACTACCTTTCCCTATATACAAAGATAACGTATCTCATTATTTTTTACATCAGTAAAATAAGAATGATCTTATTATTTCTATACACTGTTAATATGGGGCAAAGAAGTAATTCAAACAGTGTGGACAAGTTTAGGTTGTCAAATTTTCGGAGCGATACGCTCCTTTTTCAAGACACAGTGAAACAGAACAGTTACATGTACATATACATCATATTACAAGAAGATAGAATTGATATACTATAATTGAAAATATGGCTATTATATAAAACCAATAGTTCCCTCGGCTAAAGACAGCCGAAGGCAGCAATTAAGCTGAGAGCATCGCGGACAAGGAACGCTGATGTAGAGGACCTGTCAATTAAAGTGAGTCAACGAGAGATATCAAAAACATGGAACATGTGCATTTGGAAATCTGGCCCGGTAAATGTGAAAAATCTCCAATCTGCTACGGAATGTCTCATTAGTCGCCTCTCAATACTGCGATGGATCTAAGTCACAGCAGGGGGTCCCACTTAGTCGCCTCTTTTGGTTTGCAGGAATAATGCATGTGCCTCTATTGGTTTGCAGGAATTATGCATGTAATTATCAAATAAGTGAGTGCAGGAGGAATAACTAGATAAAATGGCTAAGATACTGTATAAATCTGCAAAATAAATCTGACAATGGCTGTTGGTCACACACACTGACATGAAGCAGCAGGCAGGCGAGATTGCAGACCAACTGTGCAGTAGTGAATCATTAGGTCAAATGCCCCCTGGAAGGAAAACGAGCCGATGGCAACCGCCTATCGTTCGTTCATACCTCGAGGGTCGCGGTTTGTAGATTGGTGATCCAAAACCGTTCTCTCGTACGTCGTCTCGTTTCATCTCATGTAGGGCAATGATCTATGACAACAACATGCATGTCTTTCCAACTATGGCTAAGCATATTAAAATGCCTTGCCACAGGGAAGTCTGGTTTGTTCTGGTTGATTGTGCAACGGTGGTTGTTGATCCTGACATTGAGCTTTTTAATATATATAGAATATCACACTCATTTCCATGTCATATGAGATGTATGAAACGAGTCTAAGAATTTTTCATTTTAGCGAGCCTCTTGTGAGCTAAAATGAAAAATTCGTGACGAGTTTCATAAATCTCATATGACATGGAAATGAGTGTAAGATCATTTTTATTATATAAATGATATACTCTCATTTCATTCCTTAAAACAAACAACTGCATCGTCCGTCATTTCACCAGCTATCTTTAGTTGACATGACCGAAGCACTGCTATCAAAATGTGGGTCAGCTCTATCTGCGCTGTAAAAAAATGATCACAAATAATTTTCTAATAATCACTGAAACTACATCGATAAATATTAATAATTAATCCATTTTTTCAATGCTTTGTACAGATATATAGCTTCAGCTGAAAATGTACAAAATTCATACGGTTCACGCTAAGTCATAGCGCGCGACATTCCAAAACGCAGAATGCACATTTCCGTGGAAATTTGATGTAGTCTCCGATCTACTATCGGAACGAGACGTGGCTCACACATTGACATTGCTGTTTTGTAAGTTTGTTGCCCTCTGCGTACCCTTGTTCAGGGCGTTTGGTAAGCCCCCCGTGTCGGACGCATTAGACAATATTTTGGAAAGTTTGTGTGTGTTGTCATCCACCGTGCTGTAATTATTAACGGACTGGATATTACGGTAGCTGGTGTAATGCACTATGGTGTTTGTCGGAACGTCTTTGCTGACAAGTTTTTGAACAAGATGTTTTCGAGGACTGTGATTTGTGAGTATTTTATAACCAGATAATCCAGCAGCGATTAATATCCTTTTCACAATTGTAGTTTGTTCGTTCCTATTGGTTTTCGTTTGAACCAGTAATCACCGTCGCGCACTGCCGCTATTTTAGTGTGTGCCGCTATGTAAAATGGGTCGGCCGGGTTGCTGTAGTCAGCGGGGCGTTTCTCGTTATAAACTTTGTATTTTCAAGATTTACCCCCATTTTTGGTTCCACGGGGCAAATATCAAGCGGATTATCACATTGTCGTTTTTTCGTCAGTTTCTCTTGCAATTCCAAGTGTTCTTTCCCATCTAAGTCGTCACAAATTTTCATATCGCCCCAATTCATTGACTTGCATTCGTCCGAACTCCTTAAACCTAAATTAACTGTGTTATCTGTCCCCAGCTGTTTGGTTTGCCAAAGAGTTTCAATTTCTGTGTCTGTGATTGAACCAATCTTTGTGGGGTTTGTTATCTTTATCGTCACGTTTGAGCTTCCGTTGTTTTGCCTTCATTACATCTTGTAGTTTGGAAAATTCAATGCTGCCGATCATAACTACCCATGAAGCCTCTTGGAAAAGTAGGCTTATAATTTGAACCTTCCTCCTTTCTTAACCTGATGAAAACTTTACACATATGTGGGCAAAGTTCCGTATGGTGGTTGTAATGAATAAGAAATGCTTGCAAAAGTTTCAGATCATAGAATGTTTTAGAAAGCGTGTTCCTGTTCTCTTGTGCCTGGACAAAGGGTTCTAAATCGCTTTCCAACTCGGACTTGAATCTAGCAGTAGTAGTGTTACCGGTGACAGTTGTTACGTTACCAGTTGTAATAGTCGTGTGCTCTGTGTTTACATTAAAGTCTTCTAGCACGGGTCTACCTGTAATCCCTGTAGGAACTCTATCTAAATCAGAGATCTATAACGATAGAGTTCCTGCACAGCTCCTATATATAGATGTATGAAATGGAGGACGGCAAGTGTTCAAAGTACTCACGTGGTTTATAGTGATTGAACATTGATATCGCCAACGAAACTTGTAAATCCCAATAGATAAATGCTTCCGCTATATCCAACTAAAAAACTGGTATAAACGCATTGCACATCACCGCAATAGTTCTTAATTATAACGTACCCAAATTTCACTTCGAAATGTCCGCCATCACTGTTTACAACACCGCGCATGCGCAGAGGAGCAGCAAAAGTGTATTGCTTTTAGTCCAGAGGCTACCAAAGGGAACTCAGTAAATCTTTCTGTTTGTAACGAAACAAACACTAAATACACAATTCAGCTGGAATAAAAAGTAAATGTTTATAATAATATTTATTTTGCGATCAAAATTATTTTTTATTGATTTTTTTTAATCAATGATTACTCTCTTTCAAACACAGTTCACTAAAGCATCCGGAGGTACTTTTCTGTCAGCTTTAAGTCATGTCATTTGTGTTTGTTTATATTTTGGTTTGTATTACTATATTGGATGCTATTTGAAACAAGGATTTGATTTGATTATCGTTTTATGTAACAGGTATTGACTCACTTCTCCATATTTACAGAAAATGAAAATTAATTAATACTCTCTATGGCATATAATGCACTATGATACAAAACCAATCATATATTTACAAGGAAAATCGAAATGTAAAAATACACAAAAAATAATTGTATCGGGAAAGATGGATTTCCTTCGGACGTTATAAATATAGCAATGTATTATAGATAATAAAAAAAAAACCATCAGCAATTGGTCACATATATATTGAAATTTGTTTGTGAATAACTGTTGTTCTGTAATATAATAAATACTAGCTTGTGGATAGTAATTACTTGATTTTTACTACAGTTTATTTTTTTTGGAATGGAAAAACTCACAAAAGCAAAAATAAACCTTCACAAATAATTGTGATTATTAAAAAAATGTATTTACTTTTACCAAACTCATTACTGTCTGAATTTCAGTTTTGGCAAAAATTAAGTACACTTTGACAGTTTAATTTTGAAGCTGTTACAGGAGAAAGAAAAATACATTTACCCAATAATGAATAATATTAAAAATCCTTCTGTGTATTTAGTGTTCGTTTCGTTTTTGACTATTTTAACTTTCTCCGTAACAAAAAGAACGATTTACTTATTTCCCTTTTTTGGCCTCTAGAGTTTCGTTGGCGATATCAATGTTCAATCACTATAAACCACGTGAGTACTTTGAACACTAACCGTCCTCCATTTCATACAACTCTATATATGAGCTGTGTAGGAACTCTATCGTCATAAATCTCTGATTTAGATAGAGTTCCTACAGGAATTAGTCTACCTGATAATCGCTCACTTTGTAGGTCGATTTCGAAGTCCATACTCTCTAACTCTATTGAGTAGTCTGGACCTGCAGTTGACTCTTTAATATTCCTCACAACATCATTGATTTTGCCATCTATTATAACGTTAGAACCAAATGGAAATGTTGCGTCCGATATGTTCACTGCGAGACGAGACGTAGTGCGGAGTAAATTTACTATCGTTGGAAGGTATAATGCGGTCAACCAATCAAAATCGTTCTGGTCATATAAGAATATGCAACAATATGAAATGGGTGTATTCACTGCATAACAGGGGAGTTATATGATAAAAGTACTTACTTACTATTTCTGTATAGGTACTATCAGTTATATCTTACTATTTTTGCTATTTTTGTACACCGGAAAAATAAGTAATAATTAATATCAGTCATAATTTTGTTTTATTTCTTTATAGAAAATAGATCAAAATACCCTCTGTGCCGACAAGTATATATGGAAAAACATGCACATCTACATGTAAGATCATGTTCCTATTTGAACTATATAATAGATGTAACGGCCCTATGAACTTTGTGATGATATTTATGTATTAGGAGGTGGATAGTTGAGATTGCATGCATGCTCATGCATCCAATGTGAATAAAATCAGCTATAAGTATGTAATGTATTTTGCACGCAAAAACTGTAAACAACACAATCTACATTAAAAACTAAGACACAGTTGTAAAAGGTAACTAAAAAAGGCAAAATCTGATGCTCCGTTAGACATTTCTGCACATTTGTGATTGTCTCAAATCCGTGGAAATATGTTTGTCACCTATAACGAGGAAACAAATTATAGACACTTAAATATTCTAAGTTATAAATCGTGTTTTTTACGACGGTCGAGCAGAATGGTCTTGGTCAATTAGTCAAACTGTAAACAGGAAGCGTCTATCTAAATCAACATGAATCCCAAATCACAAAGGGGAATCCAAGTGGCCAAAAGACATAGATGTGTTCTGCACTCATGTGACATCCCTCAAGGTTTTTATATTGATGTACAGTAAGACCGTCGGTTAGCAAAGATGTAAGACTCCCTCCACAAGTCTATAACAATGTATGTAAAGGTTATTTGTGATCCTTTCTTAGCAAATCAGTACATGGTTTAATTTGTATCTTATCAAATGACTTTCAATGCATCATAATGTATATTGTTAAACGTATTAAACAAGAGGAACATAAACTGAATACTCAAATAAAAGGCAGAAGTCTGGATTATGAATCAGTAGTTATTTTCGGTTTTGTTTTTTTACATTTCCGGTTGTATTGCCATTCGATTGAATAATAACAATGCTTCCTTTAAATCATTAGAGACAAAGTCATAATAATAATGTGAATATATGTCAGGATATTGGAGTAATTCGATGAACAGTGAACGTAACACACAAGTAATTGCACCGATACAATTTGGTAACAGATCCAGTATAATACAGTATACCAAAATTAAAGTAAACCGCACCATACAGTGACTTCGTACTAGTAGGAATCATCTGTGATGCTAGTGGGCCAAACGGTGGACATTTAAATCGGTCTATACCACTGTTGACATAGAAGGCGAGCTGCGTAAACCCCCGGTAGTTATATGAATTTCAAGACGGAATTTGAGGAGTGCTGGTTAATTCAAATTGGTAAGGAGTAACATGTGTATGAATCCTGACGCTACTCAACAAAAATAATTGTGGCCATCCAGGTAACGGCAACTCCAAGGAATAAGGAATTCACGTGCAGTGTCTGACGCTTTGTATCTTGAAATAACGCAATCATACGCCAATGATTAAGTGAAGGTCATCACTGTGATGTAACATTCGTTATGAGTTTTGACGATCACGAATTATCACATTGTAAATATGTTGTATGCGATACATATTCACCCTCGTCACTTTCTTACCTAATCATTATTGTACTCCCTTAGGTTCTGTTGTGAGTAACAATACGTATATATGCATATACATATATTTATGTTAACAGATCATTATATATTCAGGTTATCTATTATTCATCGCTTGGTGTCGGTTGTCTCCCTGGATTAAACTGTTTGACACCGTTCGTGATCAAGTCATTGACGTAACTTCATGCTGTGCCATAGTTAGGTAAAGATGGATTTAACTTTTGTTCCCGTTCCTAGTCCACATATCGCCGACTATATCGTTATTGCCGTTTTTCTATGTATCTGTATGGGGATCGGCGTTTACTATGGTTACCAGACCAATAAGACACCAACATTGGATAACTATTTCCTTGGAAACCGACGTCTTTTACTTTTACCGGTGGCAATGTCCCTTTTTGTGACTTTTGCATCAGCGATTTCACTCATGGGCACTCCAGCCGAAATATATGTCTACGGAATTCGCGGGGTGTACATAGGTATCGGTTATACCTTTTCTGTGATGATAGCGAGTATCACCGTAGTTCCTCTACTCTATCCGCTACGACTCACCAGTACATACGAGGTCAGTATTAAAACATATTTTCTTTCCCGATTTCGAAAGGTGTGGATGCATGTACTGTTTAAGCTACTCTTTTCTTGTTAACATTTTGATTAAGTTGAAAATTATCGGATGTTTTATGGTTTCCCTTGAACACCATTTATATTCCACGAGTATGGCAGAATATACCGATACTTTCTGATGAATATCAGTAATTTGTACCTTAGTAAAATATATATGGTATTCAACGGGGATTCTATTTATTACGTTATTTAAAAGAATCACGACGCAAATTTAGCGGGAATAAGTAGCACAAATTTGACGTCGAATTCTAGTGACGTTATGCTTGGCAACAAGCCAGAGCGTCATTTTGAACGGGAAACACAACGCTATGTAAATGTAAAAGTGTGTGTGCAAAAATGAGTACCAAAGTAACCACTGATTCCGCTGTCTCTTGATCTGAACTTGAAACTGAAAACTGTGAATCTGAACAATTATATTTATACTAAGCTTATTTACCCTCTTCCCAATTTCATAAGCATATTTATCGACGACAATAAACGTTTCTGAATAGATAATTATGGGAAAAAAGTTTATTTTGACGATCAGGGAGGTCAAATAGGTAATCAGCAATACGGTAGGGCAGGCTTACAAATCAGTTTTCCCTGTTTCTCTTTATTGATTTGTGGTTAAGACAACCAATTATACAGGAAAGTGCGGCAGGTCTTCGTGTGAAAGTTCATTGAGGCTAGACCAAGATTCAACCTTGGGGTACTTCAGTTTCTTTAACTGTTGCTCTATCTGACTGAGCCTATAGAAGCACCTTTGCCAAACTGTTCTTCAGTTAAAACCAAAACGGAACTAAGGGGATGATACTGTGTGTACGAAAAACCACAGTACAGTTGTATAGAGACCCTTAAGATAAACAGTAGCAGTTGATGGGTCGTTCTTTCATAACTTTTATTTATTTACTGTATTTTACAGGTTTTCAAACCTCTCCAAATATTTCATTCTATGTTATGACGCTAAACATTTTTGTACAACTTTTATTCAAATTATGACTTTTTTCACACAGTATCTTCAACTTCGGTTTCGTTCAAAAGGCGTACGTACGTTGGGGACAATGATTGGGATGCTGCAAACGGTACGTATGACAGAAACTTAGTACCAAAATTGATCCACATTTTTAAACTCTTTCTTCAGAAAGCTATATATTACAACTAGTAAGTGTTTACTTGTGAAATTTTGGCGACTAGAACGATACGTACTCTGTCGCCTTCATCAGAGAAAGGACCAGTGAAGCGTATGTACACAAAAGTGTAAATCATGCACGAGTTGGCAAAATATTATAGAAGTCGATTCGGATATGCTGTAAGCGTAAGTACACTTAGTAGTTATTCATGTTTGATACCGCCAATTTAAATTCAGCTATGCTTTGCTTGATACTTGGTCAGAGATGTGCGAGAGTCTATGAGCCCCCTCATCTCGATTCAGAACTGAGCAACTACGGCGTATCCAGATGGCTGCCTTTAGCAGCCACCAGAACAGGTTGCTTTCGCTGTCAAATACTCTCAAAATCATTCAATTATTTCGTTTTGAACCAGAAGAAATATTTTAATTGTGACACGTTCTATATCAGCTGCAGAAAATAACTTTAATATGTATATTCTTTAAGTTATTTATGTTCCAGAAACCTGCTTGGAAATCGTCTTTAATTTACAAAGTAGAATTATCCTTCAAAACTCGAAAAACCAATGATATGTTAAATTATTCTCATTACAGTATCTAATTTACAATCAATATCTCATTTCCTTCATTAACATATATGTTTTGAATTGCAGATAATGGGATTTTCCATTCGTGTATTATTTATCATAGAATAGCAATAACAATTGATGCAAAATAAGAAATAACGACATTTTGTATGAACATATGACGCTATTTGTTATTTTACTTTATAATTCATTACAATAAGCATTCCTTTGTTTTAATATTTTACTTGTGCGTGTACCTATACTTATTGAGAGATATTTTGCTTCATTAAATGTATGTGTTTAGATATAAAATATAGTTAAGGATTGAATCTTGCTTTGGTTGATGTCATGGGGAAATGAATTGAGTTGGTCTTGAAACAAATTTAATGAACTGCGAATTAGACAGGAAACCAGATGTGGCTTGAAAGGACGAAATAATTTGATACGGCAGTAAGATGTTCGACTGTATTTCATATAAGACGGAACCACATGGATCTACGTTGTTTCTTTTTGTACCGGGGGTTGATACTGACACAAGAAGTAGAATGGGTGGCTTGAGGGAGAGTTTCTAGGGCAGTAAAATGACTTGTCACTACCACTAGCAACCGTGAGCTGATAATATTTTGATGATTGATAGTTTTTGGTTGTTTTAACAATAAAATGTAAAATCTCATCAAGTTGCATTTTCTTTGTTTAAACATGTCAAAAGCTATTTTCCTTCGCAAAATCATACGCACAGGCAATGCTAATCTGGTCAAATTCATCGGCAAATAACGCAGGTTACATTTGGTAGTTGCATTGAGTCCAACTTAAAGTGGAATCGAAATAGTATTAGATGGTTTTCTTGTATCGTATTTCTTATTCTAATTTATATCAGTCATCTGAATGTGTATGAAAGTAGTGATTATTTGAGTTTTTATATACAGGTGGAAATTTTGATAACATTAAATTATTTATTTTGACCCTGTGCACACAGCATCATATTAATGGACCCTAGATAGACATTAACTTGCTACACTTGAAGAAGAAGCGTTTTGCACAAGAGATGAAAATATTTTCCAATGGGAATTGCAGAACAGTTTTAGGGTTCTGATTCTCTTAATAGGATAAGTTCAATTGGTTTTGTTCCTCTAAGTGGAGATCGGTAACAAGATCACGAGATGCAAGAGACCGTATTAGTTGCGACATAAGGTAAGACATAGTATACAGGAGGCCAAATACGTTTTATGAATTGCAAGGGTATCTTTTAATTCTTTGTACGAAACGTATCATGCTTATAACGTCACTAGAACAAGTCTTTGTATAATTAACTATCTGTCCTTGCAGGTTGCCTATATGGGAGTGACACTATATGCTCCAGGGTTGGCACTTCAAACAGGTTTGTAGAATTAGTTTGTTTCATTTCTATTTCTGATTTCTCGAATTATAGTACAGTAAATGCATGTTGAAGAAAAAAAATGATTGTCATTTCCATCAATAGTCAAAATTACTTTTTCGTAATATGTGCAAAATAATTTATAAATTAATTGCCTCTATTTATCTCAAATATAAGACGTTAATTATGATTGGCAAAGTCATACCACTTTGTCACATAAAATATAAAATTTTAAAAATGCTTGTTTTCATATTTTCCCCCATCTTTTCCCCCACTCAAATATGAATCTTATTGACTTCACAGTGATACCGGTACAATAATGGGGAGCTTTTCACAATAGAACCAAGAACTCACCTATAAAGTTATCATAAGCCAATATTCAGTCCTTTATCCTTTTTATTTTAATCTTTTGTCAAGTTCAGTTTTTGGACGTAAACACTAAAATTTCGTTATACGACGCTAGGCAAACATTCCTCAAACTTAAACAGGATCCAGTCCATCACTCAGACCTATACAGAACACAAAAAAGAAACGCACAAAGTTCCCCCCTTCAGTACACCTTAGCTGTAAGGAAATAATGGAATATTTGGTCAGGTATTACATCAAGAACGATCTCCCTTCTCAACAATCTACCCTAAAATCAGCCAAGCGTGACGATGTCATTGTGAGACTTTGTGAGCTTCTTTATTTCAAATCACGCGGCGTGATCAAGCCAAGCCGGAGTTTTTCAAACAAATAATCTCAACGGATACTCTAAGTTCAGCCACATTAATTTTCCACGTTGGCATTTTGATTTCGACATTGACTGAGATGCCACGCTTGAGCAAATTCAGAGGGGTAGAGCAATTGCGATGTTGATGGATGGTCATAGCCAAACTGCTGTCGTACGGCAGTTTGATGTTGGCCTGTGTACAATTAACCGTCTCTGTACATGTTTCCGTGCTACTCGGTTAGTTTCCGATCGTCCCAGGAGCGGTCGTCCGCGTGTAACGACCGCACGACAAGACTGGGTGATTCGATTGTCGTACTTGCGCAACAGATTCAAGACTGCTGTAGAGAATGCGTCGCATACCTTAAGTACTGATGGCAGACCAATTAGTCCTCAGACTGCCAGGAACCGCTTGCGTGCCGAGAGAATCATTGCGCGCCGACCTTATGTCAGGCCACCTCTGACACCACGGAGGCGGCAAGTGCGTCAAACAACGTTCAGCCTCTGGAATGGCCCCCATATAGCCCCGACATGTCTCCCATTGAGCATCTGTGGGATGAGCGAATTAGGAAACGTCGAAACCCCCCAACTTACAGGGCCCAGTTGATCGCAGCATTAACACAAGAATGGAACAACATTCCCTTAAGGCGAATAAATGTTCTCATGAATTCAATGCATAGGAGAATCCGTGCAGGGATTCGTGCAAAAGGTGCCCACACCAGGTACTGAGTAACTTTGCGTAACTACTGATGACACGAGTGACGTCACACAGACTTTTCCTCTACAGTATTGTAAAGAGTAGACTTGTCCCTTCATATTGATATAAAATTTTGTACAAATTTCCCAAAATATAATAGGCTTTTGATTGCATAATTTAATTGTGCGTTTCTTATTTTGTTCAGTATATTTCCATTTTCACATAACACGTTAATTGCAATGAATGGTTTTACTGCAGATGTCTTCATTTTGCGATATCAAATTGATTTTATATATTTTTATATACAAATGTTCTATATTGTGATTCAATGTCAAACGCAAGTGAGAGTCTTGGAAATGAAATGAAACAACATGACAAACAAATGAGCATATCCGCTATATTGAAATAGTTTAATAGCTCTCCTGGTTGTCTATCTTGATTTCTCTTAAATTCAACACCAATAAGTATAATTATTATAATATGCAACTGTAAATTGCTTGAAAGCCATATGATGTTTATGTTCACATTCAAAGCCTCTGCATGTACTTATACAGTGTACCATGCGATAACCCGGACGATATAAAAACGTGATAACCCTCGCCCTCGTACTTGTATTCGGTAACATTAACATGTGTAGATGAATATCTATATAGTGTATATCAAGGTGACACAGCAATCATTTCGCAAAATAACGCACGATTGTCGTACGTGATATGACATATTTATTTACCAGTTATTAAATTCGAGTTTAATAGGAAAGGTTAAATACTAGGTCACGTATCACGTGATTAAGGTAAGTAGAAAATATCAAAATCACCCAAAAGTGTCAATGATATTCTTCTGTTCATATTGTAGACTCTAGTAAATTTATCGATAATCCTAGATTTGGTAACCATTTTGTTTCAAGTATAAGGTTATATTTTCCCAGTTGACATAAATGTATCGAAGTATATCGAATATCCTACTCGACTACAGTCACAATTATGTGTTCCTCTTGCAGACATAAACTATATTATTATTTTGTTTTATTCTTTTTTTAATTTCCTTACTCAAGGGTCCTTATTCATGAAACCGTGCTCATGTTCAAGCACAGATTTTGTACTCAAACCAGTTTTCTTGTAACACACTTAAATAATGTGTAGCAATAAAAAGGTCAAAGGTAAACACTGAAACCAAACAGTATTCGGCTTTGAGTATCTTCAAATGTTTTCCAAATCATTGAAAAAATAAGAATTGTTTTATCAATTTAAAACTGAAACAAGAAATTAGGCTTGAGCGCAGAATAAATGCTTGAGCATGAGAACGATTTCTTTAGCTCAAATATTTCCTCAAAATTTTAACTTTTAACTAAATAATATTTATAATTTATTTTATGTCAAAATGATACTAAAATGAATAGAAGAAGATTTATATCATGCATAAAAAAGGACTTAACGATGAAGAGTCGGGATTACCAGGGGCTGGGGCGCTCCCTTTACTAAATGTATCCATTACTTCTGTCACAACTGCAGGTTGGCTATTGAGAAAAGAATACACCTGCTGTTAACCACTGTATGTTTTAAGAGGTAAATGAGAAAATCGAAAAAATCTGCTTTGATAATTGCAATATTTAGGATCATTAAATTTTCTGTTTGCTTTTAAAAACCCTATTTGTTGCCTACCACATTGTTTGGTAGTACCTCACCTTTGGCCTTTGTGGTGAAAATTCGAATCGGGGAAAGTCCCGACTTTACGTTCAGCATTTAGGGTAATCACAAAAACTGGTTAACCCGTTGCCAGTATAGTGTGACCGGGTGGAATACTGTGCTGGGTGCTTTCAATATGGTATACAGTGGAGGCACTCTAAAGTCGGCATCGGATTCTATCTGTTGAGGTCAAATTCTTCATTAAACGATGGACCACCTCCAGCCCAGATAAACACATGCACACATGCATTAAACACATGGTGGCACGTCATACAATGACCTTGGCTGTTAATAGGACGCTTAACACAATAACACCAAAACCAAACAGTTTCTCCCGTCCGATAGGTGTCCTAGCTCTCATATGGTTATACATATAATCTACATGTATATGTCACTGTGAGAATGTATATGTCAATTTTACTAATCAGATTTTTCAAATACACAAATAATGGAATTAGATTAGATAGAACATTTTTTACATTTACTGTGTATCACACTTAATACCACTTAAAGATCGTGTTACCTCGTCTCTTGAGGCAACAACAATATCAGACTTTGCAAATGACTGTTTTCTGTTTTAGTTGCTGGAATACCTCTGTGGCTCTCTATCGTTGTTATCGGGCTCGTTGGCACCATATATACAGCAATCGTAAGTATGGTTTTATGGTTTTAAAAAATATTAACATATATCTTCATGGAACAGCAATAGCAAATGAACTGACATTTATTCTCAAAAGCTCCTTTTAATATAAAGATCTATGCAGCCGTCTCTTAACTAAATACGTATCTATTACTAATTTACAATTAAGGTTGGTATTGTCAATCCTGTAGCACTGATACTTAAACTAGTAGCATGAATTATTTAACAATGCTTTTAAAATGCCAGTATTGTTGATTATGTCGATGGGTGTTCCAAACCGTGGTTAGCATACCAAATATAAACCTTTACCAATTATTCTTCATGAAGATGACTTTTTTACACTCAAATCACTATTGTAAGACCACTTATTTATTGAATCGGAGGAGAATGATGTTTGCGTCTATCATATTTTATCAGAGTTTCTCAGCGTTTTTCCACATCCATCTAAGCGTAACGGATTGAGTTAAGTTTGTAATAACAACAGTGAATCTGACTGGTGTGAAGTTTGTGCTTATAGAAAGAAAAGCGGACAGAAATTGAGTTTGTGTCTACGATTATGAACCAGATTGTCATATAGTTTTGAAGCAGAATGTGTGTATACTGTATCTGAAATGGTGTAGTTGTCGCGTTAACAGTTAAACTTAAGGGTTTTATTGAATCTGTGGTTTCCGGACAGCCGTATCAGTAAGGGTAACATGTACTTGACTACCAACTTTCGTCGTCGGGTAGAATTCGCAGACTACAACAAAAATCGCTGGAGAATCATTGCTACATTATTAGCTTTTAAATAGTAAAAAAAAAAACAGAACATAGTTAGTTTATGGGTATAAACCTTACTTAATAAGTTTGTGGGTAGTCCATTAACCTAGCCTGTCGTCAGTAAAAATAGGGATTTATTGTAAAGATCATATCGTAGCGCCATCTCGCTGCATTATCAAGTTTGAACAAATGCTAATATTTCTTTAAATAAACTTAGGTAATTTACTATTGTAATATCCTTGGAATTAACAAAAACAGTTTTACAACAATTTTATGGGGAAAAAATGTGTGTAAGTGATACCTTTTTAGTTGATCACAAAGTACACAGCAAATAGATGTGTATCGTACCTAAGTTCTTTTGCTATGTATCTTTTTTATGTTTTCTTTTCAAAGCAAATTGTCTAAATGGCTAGATATTCGTGCAATATATTTGAAATCTTAAATGAAATAACTCAATGATGAGGTTGTTAGGTACAAGAATGAGTTGTGAAGCTGTGCATATATTTGGCCATTTGTATTTGGCAATGTTGTTCTGCTGTTTCAGGGAGGAATCAAGAGTGTAGTTTGGACGGACGCGTTCCAGTTCGTTATGATATTTACAGGATTGGCAGCAGTTACCATAAAGGTGGTGCTATTTTTACATATAATTCCTGCAAGCATGCAATTTCGTCGATGTGGCATGGAATTAACGCATCGTAATACTATTTGAGCATGAATATCTTCACTGCTTCAAGTCAAATTATGGCAGCGGATATATACTTATACATATATAGAAAACATATCTTTCAATTATTTTTTTAAACACAAAATGTATATTTAAAACCTAAATGTCATTGATGCACTATATTACTCGTTTTTGCTATTAGAATATAGCTCGGATATCTTTAGTTCACTTTTATGAAAATCCATTATGTCATCGATTTGAAAATAATTACAATGAGAAAAAATCTAAATTAATTTATTTCTTGAAAGTAGATAAAAACGTTTTTTGAAAATCAATATAACACTTCATTATGTTTTTTTCATCTCAACAGGGTAGCATTCTCATGGGGACACGTTACTCTGTGGTAGGGATAGCGACTGAGGGGAAAAGACTTGAGATATTTAAGTATACAACTTTCTTAAATGAAACCACAGATATAAGAAAATAAAAAATAAGTGACTCGTTAATGTAATTTATGTTCAACCAAATAAAGGTGATAGCTTCACTTAACACAAAATATCAAAATCACCAAGATTGATTAACCCTTGAATATAACAGAGGTTTTTTGATTTTTTAAAGTTCTTTCCCTTCGCTTTATTGTGCATTGCAAGAAAAAAAGTGAACAAATGGGAAATCGAAATCGTCACGCTTATCGTAAATAATATTTGTAAGTAAACACGTGGTACATTAAGTGGCTGGACATGGTCGATTGGTGATATTCGGATACAGTCAATCGTGACATTGAATGACAAGGTGTTCAATTCCAGCTCTGATAAGCTCTTAAATAGATTCAGGTCTCGTATGAAAACAAAGGCAAATCAATTACATGAGGGGCACAGTTTGTTCCCACTAGAATGCCAGCAGTCACTTGGAAAACTTGAAAAGAGAGGAAAAGTCAGTTTTTCTGATAAAGGAAACATTTAAAGGAGAGGATTGAACTAACTCAGTTTCAATTATGGATTTCGTCCAATAACCAAAACAATTCATACTTTCTGTTTCATGTTTGTCCACCTCAAAGTTTCATACAAAGATAAGACAGTTATTTTATCGGTCGCAAAACCTACATTATTGGAAAAGTTATTGATTCAACGTTTCTGATACAATGGTAACAAAAACAAACCAGTATTTACATCTTCAACGATATTGGTTTTATAAAAATAAAATTGTGGAAAAATCCAGAATGTTCTTTTTCATGATTTTGTAATACTGCTGTTACTTATCACTACCTAGATGAATCACTAAACATACGAATAAGTACACATACGAATAAGTATACAAACGAATAAGTACACATACGAATAAGTACACATGCGAATAATTACACATACGATGCGTACACTCCCGGAAAAAAATAACAAGTTCTGATAACTCCTAGGCCCGGGGCTCTATCATTATTCTGGTTAACGAACGAGTAGGTATACTTTAAACTGACTAATTAAGGATATTCAAGTTTTGAGTAAGGTATATATGGCTACATTTCATGTCAGATTTTGAGAGGAGAGCACTTACAGAAAATCTTTGTATTTACAGCTTTGACCTGGATCCTAGAACTCGCCATACCATATGGGGAACTTGTATAGGCGTTACCTTTACTATGCTTCCGAACTGGTGTAACCAGTCCAGTATTCAAAGGGTCTCGTCTCTTCGCAGTGTTAGGGCTGCTAAAATGTAAGTGTCCATCTTCTTGTTGATTGCCTTTATTTACGAAAATTTGTTAAAGAAAGCAAGTGACTTACCAAAGTGTAAACAATAGCGTTACTGGATCTCAAAACCAACAGAACACAGGGAAAACAGATTTGCATGACTACCCTTACCAACGTACAAGGTGAAAAGCAGGAAGGAAGGGCCAATTGCTTTATTGAAGACACTCGTTTTACATCTAAGTCATATCCATGTTATCTCAGAAGTGACCCAGAATTCACAAGGATGAACAATATAGAATACACCGATATTCATATCAAACATGTAAATTTTGTAGAATGATATACATTTATATTATGATGACGATCAAAGCGCTTGTCCAAAGTCTACATCGACTGCATCCCTCAAAACACTGTATAGATATTATATATATGGGTCAAAGAAGTAATATAGACGGTATATTATATATATATAGATATTGTTGTTCCTAGCATTCGAAAATGGAATCGTCACGGTTATCAATTCATTTAGCGTATACAATGGATGTTACTTGTGACAATGTGGTAGACAAACAACAAAGTAAGTGTCCGGTCTAGAAAATGAGTAGCGTCTTTGATTTCAAACCTGATTTATATTAAATGAAAAAGATTTGGTTTCACGAAATTTCTCCTAAATACATCAATCATCTATTGCCAAACACAATCGGTTGCTAAAGGTATCTGTTTTATTCTATGTATAGAGTATTTTGGCTTCTGGGACCTATGGCCATTGTCTACTTCGTGTTTCTCGGATATTTGGGAATTCTCTTATACTCGTATTACAACGCTTTGGAATGTGACCCTGTCCAAGCCGGATTCCTCAGCAACTTTAATCAGGTACCATTCATACCCAAATATAATATCAGCACCCAATTAAAGCATCAGAATATCGACTGACAGCAACAAAGAAATGACGATATGGTAACTTCATATTTCACCTGTGAATTGTGTAAACGTCGTGGTGAAAACAGCCAATGCACAAAACCGTGTTCCCCCCAAATAAATAGCACTGTAAAGGCTGGCATTATCGCGTTGTGGAAATATTCATTTTCTACGTTGAGTAAAGTTACTTTTAAAAATATTAAACACGAGGATTTATATAATTATAGTAGATAGAGTATAGAGTGTCAGATCAATCGCGAACGCGAACATTTCCACACCAAGATCAGTTTGATTGAAGCAGACAGAAAACATCCCTCAGGTGAATGTATAGCAGAGAAATTTCAATTCTCTGGATGAAATTCTCAAATGATTCACCCTGGGCTTGAAGCAAGAATCAGATTAAATCATGATGAATATCAACACTTGAGCTGAAATTGCTGATTCTCTCACGGTAGGGGAACATTTATTAATTATTATTTATTATAAATACATGTTAGAGAATTGAGTACATGTTTGTAAACAATATTGTGTTTATACATTAGGAATAATACACCTTGGGTCATATCCCTTTGCATTATTTCGGAAGAAATAAAGAGGACATCTTGTGGATTTGAACTTAACAAAAACAAATATTCATTTACTTATAAATTTACTCTTTACTTTCCTTCAATCTGTATGTTAATGAAAGAAATAACAACTTACTTATTTTCCAAGTAAAGCACGCTTTGTATTGAAAACATCATTATACAATATCGAAGGGCCCATATAAAATAAATATAAGTGAACTATCCAATACGATATCCAGCTGTATTTTTGTAGCAAGAGAACCAAAATAATAAAAAAAAAACTAGTTCAACTTATTGTTTATCAGCAAGCAATATAAAAGGAATAAGATAAAAACAAAGTTAGGTTACGCTACTCTTTCCCATGTTTCTGAGGAAAATACCGTATTTCATATTTTAATTTGATAACACGTTTTGCATTTGTACCGAGTTCCTTTCCTTGAATCTAATCCTGGTATTCTGTTTATTATTATTACTTATTTTGGATTTATAGCTAATATCGTATTTTGTACTCACAGTTGATGCCTTATTTCGTGCTTGATGTAATGCGGTCACTGCCCGGTTTATCTGGTATCTACATCAGCTGTTTGTTTAGTGGCGCTCTCAGGTATTTAAATAACTTGATGTATTACGGTCACTCCCCGGTTTATCTGGTATCTACATCAGCTGTTTGTTTAGTGGCGCTCTCAGGTAAGTGGACGACTTGATGTATTACAGCAACTCCCCGGTATATCTAATATCATCATCAGCTGTTGTTTAGTGGCGCTCTCAGGTAAGTGGACGACTTGATGTAATGCGGTCACTCTCCGGTATATCTAGTATCTACATCAGCTGTTTGTTTAGTGGCGCTCTCAGGGAAGTATGACTTGATGAATTACGGTCACTCCCCGGTTTGTTTAGTGGCGCTCTCAGGTAAGTGTATGACTAAATGTATTACGGTCACTCTCCGGTATATCTAATATCTACATCAGCTGTTTCTTTAGTGACGCTCTCAGAAAAGTATGACTTGATGTATTACGGTCTTTGCCCGGTTTATCTTGTATATACATCAGCTGTGTGTTTAGTGGCGCTCTCAGGTAAGTGTATGACTTCATGTATTACTGTCACTCCCCGGTTTGTCTGGTATATACATCAGCTGTTTGTTTAGTCGCGCTCTCAGGTGAGTGTATGACCTGATGTATTACGGTCACTGCCCGGTTTATCTGGTATCTACATCAGCTGTTTGTTTAGTGGCGCTCTCAGGTAATGGTATGACTTGATGTATTACGGTCACTGCCCGGTTAATCTGGTGTATTACGGTCACTCTCCAGTATATCTAGTATCTACATCAGCTGTTTGTTTAGTGGCGCTCTCAGATAATTATGACTTGATCTATTACGGCCACTCCCCGGTTTATCTGGTATCTACATCAGCTGTTTGTTTAGTGGCGCTCTCAAGTTTGTGTATGACATGATGTATTACGGTCACTCCCCGGTTTGTCTGGTGTATTGCGGTCACTCTCCGGTTTATCTAGTATCTTCATCAGCTGTTTGTTTAGTGGCGCTCTCAGGTAAGTGGATGACTTCATGTAATGCGGTCCCTGTTTGGTTTGTCTGGTATCTACATCAGCTGTTTGTTAAGTGGCGCTCTCAGGGAAGTATGACTTGATGAATTACGGTCACTCCCCGGTTTGTTTAGTGGCGCTCTCAGGTAAGTGTATGACTAAATGTATTACGGTCACTCTCCGGTATATCTAATATCTACATCAGCTGTTTCTTTAGTGACGCTCTCAGAAAAGTATGACTTGATGTATCAGGGTCTTTGCCCGGTTTATCTAGAATCTTCATCAGCTGTTTGTTTAGTGGCGCTCTCTGGTAAGTGGATGACTTCATGTAATGCGGTCACTCCCCGGTTTGTCTGGTATCTACATCAGCTGTTTGTTTAGTGGCGCTCTTAGGAAAGTGTATGACTTATGTATTACGTTCCCCATCCGGTATATCTAGTATCTACATCAGCTGTTTGTTTAGTGCGCTCTCAGGTAATTCTATGGTATAATGTAACCTTCGTTAACATTAGAATGTATCAATTATTACAGAGTCTATATACTCACCTTTACTGGTCCTACGGAGGGTCAACATAATTTGTCAGTGGCGATTTGATTAAAGATTACTGATAATCTAAATTTCAATTGTTTTTAGATTTCAAAGAAAAGTAAAATATCCCACTTGAACTTTTTAGATTTGGTTGTTTTATTCTGTAAAATTCCTGATCAGTTGATTTACCTGAGTACTACGAACAATTAGAAATACTAACATTATACAAATTTCTCTATTTATGACGTCGTATTAATACACATCCTTTTATCAAATAACACGAACAAGTTAATTTCAAGGTTTGAACTTTGTTTTGTGATTCAGCACGCTTTCGTCTGGAATCAACGCTTTAGCTGCTAATACTGTGGAAGATATTCTAGGAGACTGCGTTAAAAAGTCGAAAATAGTTTCACAGACATTTGCAGCAAAGATATTCGGTGAGTCGTACTAAACTCAAGCTACACGTTTTATGCATCAAAGACAAGTCGATCGTTACTGAAAAAACAATGTGACTGTCTCAATATTTTAAAGAATTAACATGGCATTTGAGTACTCACATATTTTTTGTTTATATCTGTGTATCTGTGTACGTTTCAGTTATCAGTAAACTAACCGTGAAGCCTTTATTCCTAGCGCTGGAAATACATATAGACATCTCATACGTTTGAGTTCAATGACAAAGACATCAATACGAATGCTGTATTTGATACAAGAAACACTGGCCATTTCAGATCATTTTGTTTCATTTATAGTTTTGTGTAGAGTAACATGTAATGATTTTATTTTGGCGTTATGCGTCATTGGTCCTGTTGTGATCATATCGTTAAGATGTGCTTGTATTTGGCCCTTATATGTAGACTATGATATAATTGATATAATATCAAGATGTTTTATCTTTTATTTAGATATCAGATATGAAAAACATTCAAATTAACTTGTCACATTATTTAATGGTAACACAAAAAATAAATAAATTGGTCAACTAATTTACCTTCAAAGAACTCTTAATACGTGCTGTTTACCTGCATATTTTGCTGTAGTGTTTTCGTACGGACTGGTAGTCATTGGATTGGCCTACGCCATTAACTCAATGTCTGGATCCATCACTCAGGTAATTTTTATTTAAAGAGGGTGTGTTTAAGACATATTTATTTTTGTTGAACCACGCACCACGGGATTTGCTCTCTCTGTAAGCTAGGTAAAGGCACGTCTATAGTTGAGGAATCCTCTTGCAGATTTTGGGACGTTAATATTGGGTCTGCATCCTCTTCGTAAAATCCCTATTTCATTTTCTCTCTCTCTCTCTCTCTCTCTCTCTCTCTCTCTCTCTCTCTCTCTCTCTCTGTCTGAAACTCGCAAGATTTGCGAGAGATTTACTCACGGTTAACTTATTATGACACATTTATTTTGAGTACGCCAATCGGTCTGGTTAGATATACCACCTTAACATAGAAACAACTAACGGAGAGATAGTCATAACGGTAGAAATAAGTATCTGGCCAATGATTGATAAAGTCATTACTTGTAATATAATCAACGATTTGGAAACTTTCCCGCAATCCAGTTGACATCCCATACACGTGACCGCTTATGAACAGTTGTTTGATAAAGTAATAAATATTGTACGATAGGGAGCTTACAACAAAACATGGCAGAATAACCTGGTATCCAATCTAGATATTTCTATTTTTAGAAAATANTCTCTCTCTCTCTCTCTCTCTCTCTCTCTCTCTCTCTCTCTGTTACCATGTCATTCACATGTAAACTCTACGCAGTCGCTTAAGAGATTATATTTGTCCAACAGATGGCCCTTTCAGTATTTGGGGCGTGTGGAGGACCTTTGGCCGGACTCTTCTTTCTTGGAGGAATGATACCGAAAGCTAACTGGATAGTGAGTATAATCGGAATGTCAAATAATAAGGAAATGGACTTTTAAAAAACGTTTAAACATAATAATAAAAAAAATACTAGAATTATTTTTTTTTACTTTAGGGTTATATTGAGTCATTATTCAAAATATTCTTTTTTATCAAGAGTACATTTCAAAATAAAATAAAATAAAAAATTAAATCAGATTTTATTAAAAACAATTGGACATGTCAACTAGGCACGCTTATCGTCTAGATTCGTTGTTATTTAGGAGTTAAAAGTTATGTTTTTTATTATCGCGCGTGTGTTTTTCATTGTATGATAACGATACTTGGGGAAAACGATGCAACATTATTCAGTGTATTTGTTCTTATGAATTTACGAAAAATACGGGAAGAATACAAGAGCCAACGAGGTAATCTTATGAATTTTATTTTTAAATTTGTTTAGCCGTACGTCAAATGAAATTTTAAAAAAAGCATGTGCGGTACATTATGGCGTTGTGGAAATATTCATTTTCTACGTTGAGTAAATTACTGTTAAAAATATAAAACACGAGGATTTATAAATAGTAGATACATGTAAGAGTAAAGAGTTTCAGATCGATCGCGATCAGTTTGATTGAAACAGACAGAAAAAATCCCTCAGGTGAATGTATAGCAGAGAAATTTCAACCCTCTGGATGAAATTATCAAATGATTCACCCTCGGCTTGAAGCAAGAATCAGATTAAATCATGATGAATATCAGCACTTGAGCTGAAATTGCTGATTCTCTCACGGTAGGGTAAATTTGTTTAGCCGTACGTCGAATGAAATAAAAAAAAAAAAAACTGTGCGGTACATCTATATGTTTTGGTTTTTTTTTATTAATTTATTACATGAAGTTAGTTTGTTGCTTTTTATTCAGGGAGCCATGGTCGGCAGCTTGACGGCTCTTGCTTTCAACATGTGGATCACAGTAGGGTCACAAATGTACGGTGCGAAACCTGTAAAATTAACCCAGAACCCTACGAGTGGATGTTTCCCAAACAACCTAGTAGTTACAATGAACGACACTTCGATGTACAGTTATAACAGTACAATGAACACCACTCCGTTCGGCGACGCTGGACACTCAAGCATGTCATCAAACGGTGTTATCGCGTAAGAAATAATATTGTTCTTCCTTCAGTATAGAGCCAAGTCTGCTCACATAAATACCTTACACAGTGTATGTCGACTTGTTTTTGTTTTTGTTTGTAATACTTTGATAAAAAAAAACAAAAAAAATCACTGATTAATTAACCGAGTAAAGTTATCATACGTAAAAGAAATTTAACAAACATCTTGCATTTCTTCATATTAAAGTTTAATAGAAAGAATGCAAGACGCAGCAAGGTAACAATTACATTGTGCAGTAATGATCTAAAATGTGTATTAACTGTTAGATTCGATAAATTTTGATGGCAATGTATTGTCAAATAATATCGTTATAAACAAAAACAAAAAATATATCATACTTTGAAAGATGTTTTTCTTCACTCGTTAAACATTTTGACATAAAATCACACCCTAATGACGATAACTCCATCTGACTGTGATTATTGGTCGATGATAACATATAATGCTAAACTGAAGTTTGTCTCTCATAATGAAAATTGGAAACTCCGCTTATTCTATTCGAAACATATAAATAATACTTACATGACTAATAAAAACATCCGGAATACATAACGGGTAAAACTAATACTGTTTAATGTTTTGAAGAAATGAAAGGTTAGAAACAATTCAACCTATTTGTTATTTTTTTTTAATAATTATTTATCTTTAAGCAAACAAGTTTGAAAAGCGCACATTCCAAATCGGAATTGATTTATATTTTAACGAAACTACACGATAAATGTGTTGTAATCCATTGTTGAGTTTATAAACGTTCTAAGGAACTGGAGCTATCAACCATGTCATACAGCAAACAAATGACAAAGTGTTACATGCAGCATGCATCGTGTTATTAGTAAGAATATCACAGAAACACTATTCCGAACTTTTTTTAACCAGTTTACTTGCTTGCAAGCCTCTAACAGATGGACAAAACATTCTATTAATCGTAAATGTTTCTTTAAGACATCAAAGCGTACGGACTGAAAAAAGGTTAATCCTGTCTGTATTCTTTCTATGTATTTTCTTTTTTAATTATAAAAATCAGATATATTATCTTACCTTACAGTCCGGATGAAGCATTTTTCCTGTACAATGTGTCCTACGTATGGTATGGTTTGATTGGATTCTGCCTAACACTGATCATTGGCATCGTCGTGAGCTGGTTAACGGGTATGTTGTCATATTTGTTTTGGGGGAAATAATTATTACTTTGTTAAGTTTGTCTAAGGTTAGTTTCGAAAATAACAAATTGAGAAGGAGGCTACTACCAAGAAAGGAGAAGTAGTTATATACATATCCACGGAAATAATTACTCAGAATTACTGTTGCCCTTATAAGCGTGCAACAATGGAGCCTCGTAAATCCTGCAACATCCGGTAAAAGTGTCCCTTTGATCAGCCACAGTTCAAGAGGACATATTTGCTTTCTTGTGATTAAATCGTATCAAAGCTGAACTCTGTCACATTTGACACAGATGAAGTTGGCTGTATTAAATTAACGACATTTGTGTTTAACATACAGGTGGTGATCGCGGAGAGCCTGTGGAAGCCCGTCTGATCTTCCCAATTTGTAGAAAGATATGCTGTCTGAAATCAAAATATGTTTATGAAGTTGCTGAGATCAATGAGAAGGTATGGCAGATAACAGACAGAAGGCCTCATTTTTCCCAAAAGACTAAGTGAATGTTATTTTATTTGTTTTATATAAGGTAGCAATACTGAGGAATGTCTTCTTTGATTAAGACTCTTCGAAATAAGGACAGAAGAGTCGATATTGGCCTAATTATTCAAATCACCCCGCCAGTTTGGGTAGCAGATCGCCCGTGAATTGGTTTGAATTTTCTATCGAAGGTCACTAAATCGTTAAGTTATAAACTGAAAGGAAATAGGAAACTTCATAACAAAATTGTGTACATAAAACTATTTTTTGTCAGAACATGACATTAATATTATTTTCTATGATGGAGAAAATCATTTAACGGATACTTGGCGAATTCTAAATAACGATTGCAATAAGTGACATCAGATTGCTGGCACCCCTACCCGTAAAAACGATATTGACACTTAAGTAAACAAACCAGTACCAAGTTATCTCACCTCAGCTAAGCGATGGATGCGATGTCCTGATTCTAATTCGAGATCCACTTAGCAATTAATGTGTTATCCTGTCACCATTTATACTACATACTTATTGAGCTATAAACTCAACATTGTCTTCACACAAAGCTTTTCGTTATATTATATATTTTAAAAGTCACCAGGTCATTATTTTCAAATCTTCCTTATTTGAAGATTAAAAGAAAAATGAATTTGTGAAAAGAAAACAGTTATCTATGGTTTGATTGTGAGTATGTTTTTTGAAGTATTTCTTTTATAAATAACGTTTGTTTACGATGTTAACTTTGTGTTGGTATCTCTTGAGATCCTGATATTATTTTTAGTGTTGGTATCTCCTGAGATCCAGATATTGTCTTTGTGTTGGTATCTCCTAAGATCTAAATGTTATATTTAGTGTTGGTATCTCGTGAGATCCAGATGTTATCTTTGTGTTGGTATCTCCTGAGACCCTGATGTTATCTTTGTGTTGGTATCTCCTGCGATCCAGATGTTATCTTTTGTGTTGGTATCTCCTGAGATCCAGATGTTATCTTAAGTGTTGGTATCTCCTGAGATCCAGATGTTATATTTAGTGTGGGTATCTCCTGAGATCCAGATGTTATCTTTAGTGTTGGTATCTCCTGAGATCCAGATGATATCTTTGTGTTGGTATCTCCTGAGATCCAGATGTTATCTTTAGTGTGGGTATATCATGAGATTTAGATGTATCTTTAGTGTTGGTATCTCCTGAGATCCAGTTGTTATCTTTAGTGTAAGTATCTCCTGAGATCCAGATGTTATCTTTAGTGTTGGTATCTCCTGAAATCCAGATGTTATCTTTAGTGTTGGTATCTCCTGAGAATCAGATGCTATTTTTAGTGTTGGTATCTCCTGAGATCCAGATGTTATCTTTAGTGTTGGTATCTCCTGAGATCCAGTTGTTATCTTTAGTGTTAGTATCTCCTGAGATCCAGATGTTATCTTTGTGTTGGTATCTCCTGAGATCCTGATGTTATCTTTGTGTTGGTATCTCCTGAGTTCCAGATCTTATCTTTGTGTTGGTATCTCCTGATATCCTGATGTTATCTTTGTGTTGGTATCTCCTGAGATCCTGATGTTATCTATGTGTTGGTATCTCCTGAGATCCAGATGTTATCTTTAGTGTTGGTATCTCCTGAGTTCCAGATTTGATCTTTGTGTTGGTATCGCCTGCGATCCTGATGTTATCTTTGTGTTGGTATCATCAGAGATCCAGATATTATCTTCGTGTTGGTATCACCTGATATCCTGATGTTATCTTTGTGTTGGTATCTCCTGAGATCCTGATGTTATCTTTGTGTTGGTTTCTACTGATAACCTGATGTTATCTTTGTGTTGGTATCACCTGAGATCCTGATGTTATCTTTGTGTTGATATCTCCTGAGATCCTGATGTTATTTTTGTGTTGGTATCTCCTGAGATCCAGATGTAATTTTTAGTGTTGGTATCTCCTGAGATCCTGATGTTATCTTTGTGTTGGTATCTCCTGAGATCCTGATGTTATCTTTGTGTTGGTATCTCCTGAGATCCAGATGTTATATTAAGTGTTGGTATCTCATGAGATCCATATATTATCTTCGTGTTGGTATCACCTGATATCCTGATGTTATCTTTGTGTTGGTATCTCCTGAGATCCTGATGTTATCTTTGTGTTGGTATCACCTGAGATCCTGATGTTATCTTTGTGTTGGTATCTCCTGAGATCCAGATGTTATCTTTGTGTTGGTATCTACTGATATCCTGATGTTATCTTTGTGTTGGTATCACCTGAGATCCTGATGTTATCCTTATGTTTGTATCTCCTGAGATCCTAATTTTATCTTAAGTTTTGATCTCCCACAGTTCCTGGTGCCGTTGTTTTTATTCTTCTTTGAATTTTGGTCTAAGGTGGTGTTCTGACACGGTAAAAACCTTTTAAATATACATCACACATATTTTATTTAGAGACATGTCCAATTTCAGAACAGATTACAAATTATTAATACCTTGACGTTTATTTTTACAGATACATGTACTATCCTTTATTTTAAGAAATACATTTGTTTGATATCTAAAACGCTTGAGGTTACTAGCATGTCTGTTTTGATTTGAAGAACATGCATCCGATTACGTTTGAAGCCAAGGGACCACCCATCTATTTCCAGCCTTACGATGACGAAGGCACATCTACGTTTTAGCGACAAGTAGCAACTGCCTCTGGTTAATCCGGTATACATCATTTGTATATATTATTAGTTGTTTTAAAACTGATCACTTTAAATATGAATACAACAATATGAGAATAACCAACGCTTGAATATTTCACCTTTGAACCTATCATCTTAAACAAATTAAAAGAATATTTCAAAAGCAATGATCTTTCACATGATTTTGGATCCGTTAAATTCTCATGAGGTATTTGGCTCAGAAATAATATGCGGTCACCATAAAGCAAGTTTTATTACTTTTGTTTTATATATTTCTTAATTTATTCATTTCACGTTATAAATAGTATATTAAAAATCATCATATATATGTAATTACGGTAGATAAAAAATGTAAGCTGATTCAATGATAATAAGTTTATATGATATCTCTGCATCAGGCAAAATAAGCAAATATTAAAAAAGATGTGTTCTGAAAAAAGCCATTATTTTACAGGGTACAAAAAGCGCGAAGAGTCTTGATTGTGAATATCAACATTGTCAATAAATTCAACTGCGCTTTTATAAATTTTTGAGTTTTGTGTTTTCTCTTTTCTTTTCTCCCCTGAACTGCTGTTTATTTGGAATGCAATAATTGGTATTCTTATTGCAAGGAAAAACAAGGTTAACGACCATGCAAATACTGTATTCAGTGAATTGTGTTTTCCAATGATATAGACCCCTGATATCCTTCACGAATCTGTCTTGTATCAATTCCAGCAGCAATTGGAAAATTAAGAGCAATTGATGACAAAAATACAGCAACTTCCAGTCATTGGTTGCATGTTTCTCTGTTTGTAAAAACAAATAACGTCATTTGGTTCCTTTAGAAATTGAGATTATTTTTTTATATCTAAACATCAATTTAGTAGAAGTCCAGTCTATTTTGCACTGGCGGACAGAATTTCTGAGAAAAGGCTCCGTATCGGGAGTACCACCAACAACGTTCTCATTTTGGCAACAAAATCTGAAAAGTTAAATAAGCAAAACCATACTTACAGAAAAAGTTTTTGAATGCTAACAGAAGTAGCAATAAATTAATATCAATAAACTGTTATTAAGATAGACAGTTAGAAACCATGCATGGAGGAATGCTACCTCTAAGCAAGCAGGCATTATATCTTTTAGTCTTATTATACATAAGTATATATTATTGAAACTAGTCATCACCAACATTACTTACACTTCTGTGATTTGAGAGGATCATGTTCAGAAATACTAATTACGTTTATAAATTATCTGAAAATATTCTATTGATAGGAAGTGATATTACGGGTATGTAGGTTGAAATATGAACTTTTACGTAAGATATTCAAATGAACAAGCATTTGTGTTTAATTTAACATTTTGATAAGAAATGAAGTCTTTAGAGAGATGACATCAAAATTCTTTTAACAGAAACCTCGTTTTTGACGTCAGAAAGTCGAAAGACGAACATGGAAGAACACGAGTTAGTTGTTTGTAAATTTCTTATGAAATTTCATGATACATGTAATTGTTATGGAAATGAAGACCTTCATGTCCACCCAAAACCTATATCAAAATACTGTTGGTGCTTGCCCAAATGTTTGGCCTATGTTATGGGGAATGTAGGTAGCTGACAATAAACAGGGCATTGTAAGAATTTTGAAGGCTGGGATTATGGTCAATTTTGCTGTGATTTAGAGTCCTCACCCAAACAAAATCAAGACTGGTGGAATGGGATTCGTTTAAAAGGTCTGAAATACACATGCTACATTTATATGGGTCCAATACCAGTACTGTATGTGTATTTTAGACATTTGTAACGAACCTCTCTGACCGACCTGATCATCAAATATGTCCAACATATCGCTTTATGTAATATTACAGTGTAATTAAGGGGAGTTGTAAATGCAGGAGCTGTAATGTTTAAAGTTAGGGGGGTCGCTACCACTGTGACATGTCATAACTATATGTCAATATTGAATATTGGTTTTAACTGGACAGCTCCGTTCTCTATATAAACAATAAACAATTCAATCGACCCCCAAACCATTTTTACCTGTCTGTGTCTCAACTTTCAAGTGTTCCTTGGATACACACCTTGTCTTATTAGGAAATGTTCACTGTTCACAGACTGCCATACGGTTACACGAGTGTTTGTCAACTCTAAGTGAGACGTGTATTTCTCTACGGGATGTTGCTCTTGTCAGTCGCGATGTGAAACCTTCAATTTCATTGGTAGCGGTGTAACAAAACCAACCGATGATTAAATGGCTTACAATTATCGACAAAGGGAAGTCACTCCGCGTGACGTATAGTGCCCGAGGCTGAACTTGTGATGTGTCTGGAGGTTCCGGGACATTCGATGATGGATTTTTGTTTTGTAATGTTTTTGTTTTGTAATGGGATTGTTTTCCATTAATCATCTGTTGTTACAGACAAGTATTTGCCTATTGCATATGTAACAAAAGCATATGTTTACCTATACGTTTCCATGTAATGCTAAAAACAAAAATATTACAGAACAGGAGTCTGAGTCTTGTCTTTTTAATACTTTCTTCAAACAGACTAGTTTTGATTGATTGATTTGTAACGGATCAGGGTGTTTGACGCTGCTGCATGCAAATATATTTGTGTTACGATACAGCACCTGTAAGCTAAGATGTGCTGATAGGGTTGAATTATGTGTCCGAAGTCATGACACCGCTGTGCTCAAGCCTACTTTCTTGCAACTTGTCACAAGATTTCTAAGTCAAGTTTTAACATCGAAAACGGTATACGGCCCTGAATCTCTCCAAATTCCTTCCAGATCAATAACAAATGTGTTTTCTTATATAAAGGTATCAATGGGATAAAAAAAAATCAATTTGAGTTTGAGCACGAGAATGGTTCAATAAACACGGGCCAAGGACGTTCGGTACAGTACCAAAGAATGGATTTTTCTTATTAATTTTTGTCGAGAAGATGTAAAAGGAATCATCAAGATGAGCTATATTCATAAGACATGTTTAACCATTCATTGGGAAACATTTATAACAGCTCTTTTTAAAAGAAGTGGTCCATAAAAAACACATTGCCATGAGCAAAAATGCCTGGCCAGATCAACGTTTGAACTTGGAACTTAAAATGAACAGTTATTCAGACTCGAGACTTATATATTTACAGAGCCTACCCTTTAATAACTTTGTTATCTAGGAATAATCAGTGCAGTGTCTTATCATTGGCGTCAAAACCCAGGAAAAACTGGACAGGGGAAGTTACTCAAAGCCAGAAAATCTGTCAGCTTTACGATGTGAAACTTGAGCCCAAGTGCAACATATCGATACTTATTTCAGGATTTCGCAAAACATCTTACCATTTCTGAACGAATAGATCAACTGAATGTTGTTCACCATGTGGTTTAATCAGTCTGTTGCCATTTTTCCTTACCCATTGTCATATTAGATTATTCATGTCATTGTGCAGAAAAATGATATGGCCAAACCTGGTTATACCACTCGATACATCCAACTATTGGAATTTCAGTACTGGTCAGAGATGATTAACCCAGTCTTTCCGTTCGAGATTCACGTTTTAAATGGAGGACTTCCTATGCGTTATCCGACTTTCAGAATGTGTTTTCCAATGACATCGACCCCTGATATCCTTCACAATGTTTCATGTATCAATTCCAGCAGCAATTGGAAAATAAAGAGCAATTGCTGACAAAAATACAGCAACTTCCAGCCATTGGTTGCAAGTTTCTCTGTTTGTAAAAACAAATAACGTCATTTGGTTCCTTTAGAAATTGAGATTTTTTTTTATATCTAAACATAATTTTAGTAGAAGTCCAGTCTAAATTGAGCATATTGGAATGCCAATGAAACGCAAAACCATAGTCAAAATGTTGTTTGTATACAATTCTACTGACCCATCCGAACATTTCCTATAATGGGAATATGCACTACTAAGCAAAGACTTGTGAATCCCATACCAACAGCAATGTGTCTACTTCATGTTAGTAATGTTTCCCACAGGTATTCTAAGACTAGTTGAATCAACATGCACAACCTGTTCCGTTTTACCTTTTCATGTGGCCCACCAAATTAAAAAGTTTTAGTTAATTTGCTGTTAGACGTTTGATCATTCATTTTATTTTTTTATTTTTATTTTTTCAAATCATCTGGTTTTAAAGGTTGGCTGGCGTATGATCTAGCGTATGATCTATGCAACAAAGGCATCCCCGTTATTAATGATGTCAACAGTCAGAAATAAGGAACAACCAAAATCGTAAAGAAAATAAGAGACGATATTTATTACAATATTAACACCAACAATAATCACCTGAAACAAATTCTCCTCCTGATTCGTAATTTAAATAAACATGGCGTCTTGTATGATTGAGTTCACTATGCTATAATAGAATTGTCACATGACATGATGTAGTGGTTTATACAATGAATGAAAGTTAATGATGTGTACAATTTTATGCTGAGGTAGCCTCCACTTGCTTTGCCTGATTGTCATTTGATTCAATTTTTGTTGTTTCATCAACTTGTAATTTCTTTGCCGGACTAGCGTCTTCTGACACTTCTTCAGTAGACCTTTTCTGTGCCGTATTCTCGTCTACTTCTTCTGTGAATGAAAAAAGAAATCAGCATTGCATTAACATTCTTGCACCTGTTAATCGATTATCTTTAATATTGTTGATTGTCAAAAAATAACCAGCAGTTATAACTTATATGCTATCGGAGACTTCTTGTTAAACAAAGTAACAACCAAACAACTACAGATATTCTTTCACGTTATTGATACCTTTGTTTTAATGTAATGTCTTAGTATTTAAAAACATATATAACAAAGCATGTATTTGATGAAGCATATATTAAAGTATATATTTTAACATTAATTACACAATCTTAAGACATATTATAGTAATTTTATTTTATTTTATTTCAGATCAACAGGTTGTTATGGAAATGTTAGGTGTACCTTTCATGGCAAGTGTACCTTCCATGGTAAGTGTACCTTTCATGGCAAATGTATCTTCTATGACAGTGTACCTTCCATGGCAAGTGTACCTTCCATGGCAAGTGTACCTTCCATGGCAAGTGTACCTTCCATGCCAAGTGTACCTTCCATGGCAAGTGTGCCTTCGATGGTAAGTGTACCTTCCATGGTAAGTGTGCCTTCCATGGTAAGTGTACCTTCCAGGGTAAGTGTACCTTCCATGGCAAGTGTGCCTTCTATGGTAAGTGTACCTTCCATGGCAAGTGTACCTTCCATGGCAAGTGTGCCTTCGATGGTAAGTGTACCTTCCATGGGAAGTGTGCCTTCCATGGTAAGTGTACCTTCCATGGCAAGTGTACCTTCCAGGGTAAGTGTGCCTTCCATGGTAAGTGTACCTTCCATGGCAAGTGTACCTTCCATGCCAAGTGTACCTTCCATGGTAAGTGTACATTCCATGGCAATTGTACCTTCCATGCCAAGTGTACCTTTCATGGCAAGTGTGTCTTCCATGGTAAGTGTACCTTCCATGCCAAGTGTACCTTCCA